TCCCACCGCTGCAAACATGCTTCCCCCCTCTGAATTCTAGCTATTTTAAGGCAGTTCAGGTGTCAGTTCTTGGGAAGGGTGTTCCTGAAGCTCCCCACCTCCTACAATTGCTGCAGAGTTGTAAGCATTAATTACCATCTTATTCTAAACACTCCCGAAACTTTGTATACCTCTGTAGCACGTATTATTTTATACCTTCTTTTATGCTTATGTAAACATTTATAGTACTAGACCCTTGAGGATACAATTCCAATTCATTTTTCTGTTCCCCACATCTTCCAACACAATGCCTTGTCTATGATTAGTGTTCAGCAAATATTTTTTGAATGTTTATGTGAAGACTCATTGATTTAACATTTTCTTTATTGTGGCTTTTACTCTTGGGGCTCACAACCACTGTTTCATCATCAGCACAAGGAGGCTCTAACTCAGTTAAGTGCTTTTCAGGATTTACATTATATGTATACATTTTTTAAAAATACACTTTTATTGATTTTTTTAGAGAGAGAGGAAGGAAAAGAGAGATAAAAACATTGATGTGAGAAACATTGATCAATTGACTTCTGCACGCCCCCTACTGGGGATCAAGCCTGAAACCCTGGCACGTGCCTTGACTGGGGGTTGAATGGGGACCTCTCAATCCACTGAGTCACACCAGCCAGGCAGATTTACATTATATTTAAAATAGAACTCTCAAGGCTTTCTGTCTTTCTGAAGACAGTCCTGCTGTTGCCTCCCACCCTTAGCAGCTTTCTGTTTCTAGAAACCCTGCTTTCAGTGAAAGGGTTGGAAAAGACAGTTGTTGTTTTTTATGAATATTGCCCCTTTCTGAATACAAGCTTCACATGGCTTTTCTATCTCCTATCCCAATGTACTTGCATGACACACTGGGAGCTGGTATTTTACCAGCACAAAAACAGATACTCAATTTTAGGTAAAGCAGATATTCCATCATGTATAAAAGCCTTCTCATGTATGTGTCTAGCTTGAAGGAGAGAAATGTGGTCGCTTCACTAAACAAAAGGCCATTCATTCATTCATTCATTCAATGTTTATTTTCATGATCACATACCAGAATTTAGGTGCTATATAATGTGCTGATTATACAAAAGTAGGTACTGGTCCCTGCCTTCAAGGAGCTCCGAGTCTTGTAAAAGCAGATGAATGTATGACAAGATCATTATTATACAGTGTGATTTGCACAATGTCAGAGGCAGGCACAGGATAAAGTGGAACACAGATAATTTTCTTTGAGAGCAGATGAATTTTTTTAAACAAAGAAATTCTTTTCTACAGCACAGTGGTCATGTGCTGATATCAATAATATACACATTATTTTGTACTTATTAATAGCATTAACATCAACTTCAAATCACTCACTCTGGGTCAGGTCTCAACAGCCTTGGTGGGTGCAGAGGCACAATTCAAACAGGCAGCAGACTGGGTTAACCTAGACCTAGACTTAGGACCTTGCTCCTTAGAGCTTATAAGAATGAATCATGCCCTGGCCGGTTTGGCTCAGCGGTTAGAGCGTCAGCCTGCAGTCCGGAGAGACCTGGGTTCGGTTCCCGCTGAGGGCATGTACCTCGGTTGCAGTTTGTCCCTGGCCCTGGTTGGGTCGTGCGGGTGGCAGCCACTCGATGTGTCCCTTCACGTCGATGTTTCTCTCTCTCTCTCTTCCACTCTATCTGAACAAAAAAATGAAAAAATGTCCTCGGGTGAGGATAAAAAGAATGAATCATTCAAGGAGATAGCAGCAAAGGGGTAATTTTCTTTTGATTCATGCTGAACTTCATGCCAATGATATTTTGGTGCAGAGATTTTGAATGCTATTCTGACTATGGCTCCATCATTTCTAAAGACATTATCACAGCTGTGTGGATGACTCATTGAGATACGTTGTCCAAGTCTTTGGCCCTGGAGGTGTGTGTGTGTGTGTGTGTGTGTGTGTGTGTGTGTGCGCGCGCGCGCACGAGAGAGAGAGAGAGAGAGAGAGAGAGAGAGAGAGAGAGAGAGAGAAGTGTTTATGAGGAAAGGCAAGAAAGCAATACTGCAAACATTGAGTATTTGAACAGACCACTTTAAGTTTTCTTTTTCTTGCTCTTCACATTTGAGGAATAATTTTCTACTAATTTCATACTTTTCTGCTAGAAATATCTTGAGAATAATGGAGTAGGGTGACATGAGTCAGATAAAGAAACAAGAAAATAAATTCAAATCCATTTCAAATTACCTCTTGTCAGTGGCTCAGTCAAAAGCTGGATATATTGGTTAAGATGAGTCTGTAGTATTATGTTAGATTCTTATGCTCCACAATTGAAAGAGGTCTATGGCTTGGAGTAATTAACGATAACTGCAGTGATGATCACGATCCATTCAACAAATGTGTATTGAACACCTACTACATGCCATCACTGACTAGACACGGGGGATCGAAATGGAAGCCCCCTAAAAAAACTACCATTTGGAGCTTAAATTCTAGAAGAACTTGGCAAAATGATGCTAGCAATACCCCTCCTTGTTGAAGTATTTCTTTCTCACGAGTTCCTAGTCACAAAGGGCTTGTTCTCCATTAAGTCCCAGCATCGGCACGAAAATCATAAAACTTTATTTCTTCCAGAGATTTCAGACTGACATCTGTTTCAAATGTTTATATGAGCAGGGAAATGGACTCTGGTTCAGATGTAGAAGTCTGTGTATGTGCATTGAGGGGGCGGTGGCAGTGTACAGTGGGAAGAAATTCTACAACTGTGCTATCCACTGGTACTTTCCAGCTGAGGGAAAACACACGTTAATACCTGAATTGCTCCCCTCCATCCCACTTGTCTTTCTCCCTCTTCCTCCACTTCCCGCCCTCCTCCCTTCCTTTTTAAATCCCTCCCTCTCCTCCTTCCTTCCCTTTCCTTTGATCCCTCCCCACCCCCTTCCATCGCTCAGTTCTTCTCTCCTCCGGCTCCTATTCTCTCTAGCCTCTTTCCCTCTCATCCCCTTTCGCTCCTCCATCCCTCCGCGGCGTCTGCGTCTGCCCCCACCTGCGTGACGCGCGTGGTCTGGGTGGGAGCTGTCCACTCGCCCGGGGTGCTGAATGCAGCAGGGGCGGCAGCGGCGGCCGCGGTGGCGGCGGTGGCAGAGATAGCTGAGAGCTCTCCTCGCTCCAAGAACATTGTTTCCAGTCCTCGGACGGTCAACTCACAGCCCAGGCCACCTCCCTTCCAGCACCACCCCTTTGGGATCTGAGCCAAGGGGGCAGCAGTCGCGGCGGCGGGTGCTGAGCAACGGCGGAAGACGAGACAACACCTGGCAGCAGCCTGGAATGTGATTTGCTTCCTCTCGCCTTTTATAAGAGATATATTTATACATGGTTTGGGGGATTCGCGAGGACCAAGCCGGACCCAAGTGCTGACTGCATCCCTCCTCGGCCACTGCTTCATTTCCTTCTCCCCACCTTCATTTGGCACTGCAAGCAGACCTTACCTCGTTGCATCTGCGAGAGAGGTAGCAACAGCGAGCCCAGCCAGCCAGAGGCAGTGGAGAGGGAGTGGCGGCGTGGGGGTGGGGGGCGCAGAGAGCCGGCCGAGGCCGCCCTTGGTGGGGGTAGCGGGGTAGAGCAGCCCTGAAGACCCGGCTGCCTCCCTTTTTCGCCCTACCCCCCCAGAAGCACTCTTTCCCGATTATTTGAGAACCGAATTCTTCTTCTTCCACTAGTATCATTTCATTTTTTTATTAACCCCCTTTCTCACTCCTCAGCCGCCCCCACCCCTACGCTCGCCTTGCCTCTGGTTGCATGGCAGCGCTGTCCCGGCGCGGGGGCTCAGGGCCAGCCCCCCAGGAAGGAGGAGAAGGAGGAGGAGGATCATGAAGCCTGAAGTCGCGGCCGCGCCGGACGGCGAGCAGCAGCCAGAGGACGAGCCAGAGCAGCCTCCGCCCCGGAGATACCCGGACGCCGACCAGCAGTCGCCACCGCCTCCACGGCAGCACCGGGGGCCGCGGGCAGATCCGAAGTCAGACGAGGAGGGCGACAACCGCCCAGCGGAGGAAGAGGAAGAGGAAGAGAACGCGAAGCTACTCACCCGTCCCGACCTGCCCTTCTCCAGACCCTTGTCCCTTGCAAGAAGGGACCTTTGATGGAGCCAAGGGAAGGGGGCCGCGGATTTACAGACAGCAGCAGGGGTGGGTTGGGGGCTGAGATCATGTAATTACTCTTTCCTTCTGTCCCTTCCTACACGCCCCTCTTCTCGGCCCCTTTGCTCTACCGCCTCCAGGCTCCCTTACACACCCTTCTAGCCAGGATCTTAATGCTCAGGAAGAAGGCGTTTAGTAAGAGTTAAAAGATCTTTTCTTTCCCCTTCCCCAGTCCCTTATTTCCCCACTTCTGTTCTCCTAATTGGCTTTCCCCCTTTCTGTGCAGCTTTTTAGCTGCAGAGGCAAAGCACAAGCCCCTTGCCCAAGTTCACCTGTAATTCCCCGCCCCCACCCCCAACTGCTTTCTCTTAAAATCAACGCTGGTGCTTCTGGGGTTAATTGCTCCAGTTTTCTGCCCAGGAGAATTAAAACTTGTACCAACCTCCTTCCCATCCCACCTTACTTCACCCCGCCCCTCCCCCCCATCAATCTCTTGCTACCTGAGGAAAACAATCTTTTCTCTCTGGCACATGCAGTCCTCAATTCTTCACTGAGCTAGTTTGCCCTAATCCCAGCTCAATCCATTCCAAATTTGATTTATAATCGTCCCCACCTTTTTCTATACAAGGAGAAAGGTTCCCACTGCCTAGAAATTTGAGAACAACTTAATAATCCTCTCCTGGGGAACTTTCTAACAATTAGATCTTTATCTCAAAGCCCTAACAGCCTACCCTCAACACTGTTTTATCCCCCTGCCCCTACCGGTTCCCCCAGGTCAAAGGCAGAAAGGAGGCACCTTGAGAAAAGTCTAAGGTTGGGGTGGAGTGGGGTGGAGGGCAAGAAAAGCTTTTATTGTTGGGCTCTCCAGGTTAAGTTCAGAATCAGTGACTTGCAGTCCTCAGTCCTGAGGGTAATTTATTTGCTACTTGGAGGGGTTACAAGAGGAGCTAGAGAGAAAGCAGACTCCTGCATAACACAGATACGCGGTGGAATCCCCCAAACCATCCTCTTTTCTTCAAAGACTCCAGCTGCCCCTCCTGGGCTCTCTGCTTCCACTGGGCACATGCTGATGCCCCTGAGTGGGCTGCTCTGGTGGTGGTGCTGCTGCTACTGCTGTGCCTGGTACCGCTGTGGACTGTGCACCCCGGCTCCCCAGATGTTGCGCCACCAGGGTCTCCTCAAGTGCCGCTGCCGCATGCTCTTCAATGACCTGAAGGTTTTCCTACTGCGGCGCCCCCCTCCAGCGCCCCTGCCCATGCACGGAGACCCCCAGCCCCCCAGTTTGACAGCCAACAACAACACCCTTCCGGCTCTGGGTGCCGGGGGGTGGGCAGGCTGGAGGGGACCTCGAGAAGGGGTGGGCAGGGAGACCCCTCCTCTGCCACCTCCACCACCTTTGCCACCTTCTTCTGTGGAAGATGACTGGGGTGGCCCAGCCACAGAGCCACCTGCCTCTCTGCTCAGCAGTGCCTCCTCAGATGACTTCTGTAAGGGGAAGGCTGAGGATCGCTACTCACTGGGCAGCAGCCTGGACAGTGGCATGAGGACCCCACTGTGCCGCATCTGCTTCCAGGGGCCAGAACAGGTGAGACCGTTTCCCCCTTCTCCTGCTTCCTTGTGGTATCTCCAGATCTTGCAGATTGTTACTCACCTACTTGCCCTGGAAACCATTATGTTGTGTCTAATGTGAAGACTATACATTTTAAGGGCTCCTCAATGATGTCTCTTCTGGTCAACTTTGCCCAGGAGGTGTCTGGTTCCTGATGGAGCCTGTTTGGTAGCTCAATTGTATCCTACTTTTTGTAGTTTTCTCCCAATGCTAGTATCTTCAAGCCCATGCTAAACTTCTGTAAGTATCCCCAGAATAAAATATCCAGAAGTCAGAAGCAATGAAATGAAGGAGCTTGGTGGTTCATTCATGCTTGTTGTGAAGATATCCTTTTGTGTGATTTGTCGTTAGTGACATCTTCCCCAGCCCATCTTCGATCTCAGATTCAAACTTCTTCCTTCCATGAAAGTGTGCAGAGATCTTGACCTGTTTCCTTGTTCTCATAGACTGAAACCCAACAAGCCTGTGGCTGTTCTTTCATTTGAGACTACCCCTTCCCATATTATTCTGCATTCTCAGCCATGTGTTTTAGTCACTGCGGAGGAAATGGAGAGGGATTCTAGGTCCAGGAAGACGACAGTTTGCTAAGACACTTCTTGGCAGATTCGGGTTTATCCTAGGTTGAAAGCAGGTAGGTAACTGGGGATGAGAGTGAGTTTAAGGGAAATGGAGAAGCTAGTTGTATCTATTCCTCTTCTGAGGCCTGAAACACATCAACATAGGCTGTCCCTTTCACTCTGCCATCCAGGATAGGGGATGGCAAGTACCTCATGAGCCAGAGTCATCTCAGGTCTCAGAGTTCTCACTACCCCGTTCATCCAGATTTTCACAGACATACCTACCCCACCTCTTTGAGCTCTACTTCCAATCTAGTGTCTGCAGTGTTGGATCGCATATGCACATTCCTCTACGGTCATAATGTGGCAACACTTTCCACAGAATCCCAGATATAAAACTCGGATCTAGTCATGCTGGAGAAAGAATATTCACTTGCACCCCAGGCAGGGCTACGTGATCACATCAGCCACTTCTTTGCTGACTTCCTGGAAGTGGAGGGAAGACTTCTGGGTGCTCCCTGAATAAAGGGCGATGCACTGGGATGCCATGTGGGTGTTCCCGAGTGGTCCTGGTTCTTGTTGAGGACTTTCTCTGTGAGAGGCAGGCTTAGCGGACATGTCCATTCATTTCATCTTTGCTCTGAATGGGGAAAGAAGCACTTCAGGGACAAATGATGACTGAGGCCACAGCCTGGGCATTATGAGGGGAAGTGATGTAGATCTCAGGGTGAATAAATATCTCTGAGCGGTTGAGAGCTAGATTCTTCCTTGTGATGAGGATTGCCTGAAGTCCCAAATGAAGTGCTGCCCAGAGCTGAGGACCCCTGTTAGGGGAGAAGGTCCAGGATCCCTGCTCAGTGCCCTTCTTTCTGCCTCTGCCTCACTTCCAGTGCTGGGCTTCCTGCAGAGACACAAGATGGAGTGGCTTGGCGAGAGCAAGAGGGATGCCTCCCTTTGGGGTACACCTGGTTAGGGCCTTGCCCCAATCAGGGGCCTCATCTGTTCCAAAAGAAGGAATTATTTAGTGTCTTAACTTCTTAAGCTATTTCTTTCTTCTCCCATATGGGCTGGCTCAGGTCTGCATGTCGTAGGGGCTTCCCGGAGTGTGGCTCCTGCTGAACACACCTTGTCTGTAGAGAACAGCAGGGCTGGGAGCCTGTTTTGGGTGATATTTCACCTGCTGTGTGAACTTCAAATCGCTTTCTGCCACTGGGCCCCTTTTCCAACTTCTGTGATTTCAAGACACTTTTTTCTGTCCCCCCTCCTTTTGTTATATTTGTTGAGAAGATCCAGGAGATAATGAGCATAAAAATGCCCTGAAAGGGACTAATACATAATGGCATGTATTTTGATCATGAAAAAGCAGTATTTTGTTAAGAAAGGAAAAGAATGAGATCATTAAGCATATTGTGAAACACCTTCATGTGCTACAGGGTTAGGTCAGAGATTAAAAGCTTTTCTTTCTTGTTTGTTATTTTAATGATGTGTCATAAAGAAAGCATTGACTAAAAAAGCTAACACCGAGAAAGAAATGGGCTCTGTTTTTACGTGAGCGAAATAGGATATGTTGGCGGCATTAATACTGTGGATCAAATCACGTGTCTCCTGCATATTGTTATTATATTTGGGGGGTTTGCTTTGTCTGTATAGGAGCCAGGAGATTATAATGAGACTGGGTTAGATACAGGGAACACATTTTCCCACTTTTTTGTTCATTTTTCTCCACAGCATTTCAATAAGGAAGAGAGACAAAGGGGGAGAAGATGGAGAAAACTTTCTAGAGAAGGGAGAGAGAGCACGGGGTGGAGAGAGAAGCTGAACCGTGAATATCTGTTTCTTTCTGTCCAGGGAGAGAGCTGTCCAGCAGTTGCCCACACGTGACCCTGAAAAGAGCGCAGTTTGTAATCTCAACACCGACTGTCTTAGTCTTTTCCCTGCCCAAACAAAGGAACCAAACAGCTCCCCAGTCATCTGCCAAAAATGAAGAGGTGGTCTCTTCCTGCCAAGGGCTTTTAATGTGTGTGTTGAACGCTCCAGCGAGTCCACATATTGAGAAAGGACTTTGCATCATTCGTTCATACATGCGTTTGATACATGCAGACGGGGCGCTTACAGTGTGCCAGACGCTGTTCTAGGCACTGAGTGTCCAGGAGTGGACAGGACCACTGCGGCCTCTGCTCTCCTGAATCTGATGGTCTAGTGGAGGTACAGACATTGATAACTGAACTGCTAGATAACTCAAGTGGTTTCGGATGGTGTTGAGGGCCTCGATGAAAGTAAAACAGAAAAGTGAGTTAGGAAAGAATGAAAGGGAGGGCCTGGGAGAGATGTGGCGTCACTCGGAACAGTGATCAGCAGCAGCCTTCCTGAGACGGCGCCCTCTGAGCTGACACCTCTGTGATGAGAAGGACCCTCTGGCGCAGAGGTCTGGGGAGAGCCTCCCAGGGGGAGGAAACAGCAGCTTCAGGGGCCTCAGTGTGAATGAACTGAGCATATTTGAGAAACAAAAGTGAGGACAGGCAGAGGGAGATTAACTGGTGTGAACACATGCCTTGAAGGACAACTGGCTTCGCACTAGCATGCTGATTGAGTACCCACTCTCCCCCGCTCAGCCGTTCATTTGGGTTGGGCAGGGGTTAGGGATCCATGAGTGTGTGCGACAAGAGTCTGGTCGCCAACTCTTCACTCTCCATTTCCAGTTCACGCGGAGGGACAGGGAACCTTGGGTAAGCTGAGGTCTCTGAAGCCAGATGGCCCCAGTTTGTGGTCCGAACAAGGGGGTCCTCATTTGTAAAATTGGGATAATGATAGTTCCCCAATCCATAAGGTCATCCTGAGCATCAGTGCTGTCAGAGTGTGTTGTTATTGTTGTCTCAGAAGCAAGAGGATGCTTCCTCCCCCTACCTCATTTAAAAGGAAAATGTGCCTGGATCTCAATCTGGCAGGAGGATGCAATCGTGGTCCGGCTGTGTTAGTAGGTTGCTTCCTGTGCACTCATAATGCTCTAGGCACAGTGCTTTGCTCTGTCTCCATCAAACGTCTTTATTAAGTGCCCACCTATGCCTGCTGCTCTGCGGAGCAGGGTCTAAAGACACAGGACTGATGTGGCTCTGTCCTCTGGGGAGTTGCACAGTCTAACCCAGACATCACAGAAGCTGATAGAGATCAAGAACACACAGACTGAGTCACAGGTGAATTGCGGTAATATCAGGTACAAGAAAGGGATGCATGTTTAAAAGCAGCTAGTGTGTGGGGTGCCTATTCGGAGAGGCAAGTGGAAGAATTTGCTACTTTTTCTTTCCAATTAGTCAGAGAAGGCTTCTTCTCTGTGGTTGCTGAAGACTAAATGAGATGAAATAGACTTCAGCTGAGTTCAGAAAGCAAGAAGCACAAGAGATGTGAGATACATGGTGCGAAGAGGTGAAACCGCCTCCTAGGCTGGGCCAGCTGCGGAGGACCTGGAGGTGGGCACAGAGATAAAAACCCACCATGGTATGGTGGTCGGCACCTGTTTTGGACCTCGTGGAAAGCAGGAACTGAGTCTGAAAGAGATGAATGGACTTCGTCTACCTCTCTTATTCTTCCTGGGGTCTGCTTCCCTGGAGCTCTGCGTTCAGAAGGGGCAAGACTAGTGTGGAACATCTTAGTCAGTGTTTGGGGTTCTTGTGGAGTAAGAGTGGGAAACCTGAAGACCCTAAGATGCAATAAGAATCCTGGGAATGGAGATCAAGCAGAGCATTTTAGAAGATAACCAAATGGTGCATTATTTTTTTAGCACTACAGTTCAATTTTGCATTTCTTTGTGTGATTATTCAATTAATATCTGTCTCCACAAAGAACAGACCCATCCCCAGGATTCATGGACCCTCAGGCAAGAGTATAGAGGCGTACATACCATAGGCCAAGATATTTAAAGTAATAAATCCAGCAAACAAACTGTTAAACAAACTGCATCTTATCCTCCTATCCTGACAAATGTATGTGCAAAGCATTCTGAAAGACAGATTCAAATTTATTCTTTATTTTTTTATTTTATTTATTTTTTTTGCATTTATCTTCAGATAGAACAGGAGGGAGAGAGGGAGGAAGAGAGAGAAACATTGATGTGAGAGAGACACATCGAGTGGTTGCCACTCACACGACCCCAACCAGGGCCAAGGACAAACTGCAACCAAGGTACATGCCCTCAGCGGGAACCGAACCTGGGTCTCTCTGGTCCGCGGGCTGACGCTCTAACCGCTGAGCCAAACCGGCCAGGGCCAGATTGGAATTTAGAATTGTTATATTCCTCTTAATTCTGTGCCAGTCAAGTGGGCATGTCTGGCCCTTGGACTACAGGCCACTCTGATTCTCTTTCCACTGCTGGCTCCATCCTGCGCCGGGACGAGCCTTGGACACATGCATGTACACACTCCCGCT